CCCACTGTAAGGGAGCTCAAGTCGCAAAGCGCATGTTCAATCAATTGTACCCTTCTGGGCAAAACGTATCCTCAACAGAGTCACCATCGTAGTGGTTTCTTGGACTGCGATTGAAGGCCTTGTGGTCGGTACAACCTGGTATCTGGGTTACTACTTGATTCCTTGCTACATTTGCCGTCGCCAGCATACCTCAGCTCTGGGACCAAGTTTCCCAAGCCGCTCATTTAGTCCTACACCCAGATATGCTCCACGCAGGAGAACGCTAAACAAGGTCTTCCAAGTCGTCCTCGCGTGGCACGCCACGTCCATCTACAGCCGACGCTAAGTTACCTAGTCATCAACTAGATTCTGACTCGCTGTAGGCGCCAACACCCGACGTGTCTCTGGAGCTTTCAGGACGTGACCCCCTGTTTCCCTGTAGACCCTTCCCCAGTACCCCGGATTTGGGGTTGCGGGGTGAAGGGCTGGGGTAATAAATGGGTGCAGTAGGGCGCGCTGCCTCGGATTTTGCCCCGAGGTCCATGCCAGTGACCTCCGTCTATTGCCGTGGACGTCGAGCGGGAGTGTTGACATGACAGGATGCGAATACGCAGTACGAAGAGTCTCAAAGTACTTATTTAGGCCATCCGAACATGATTCTTCGCATTCAATGAGACGAAACATACATCAGCCGGGCTTTAGAACTGGCAACTGCATCTTTGGACCGGAAGCACAATCACGATGGGCATCTTGCAGAAGATCGTTCGCAATGAAGCGACAAGAAACGATCCTCCCGAGATATACAATGCCCGGGTCATTCTCATCAGCTTAGTCGTAAGTTACTTCTACTCAACGGCCCAAAGATGGCAAGGCACTTACAGAGATCACCCATAGGCTTGCGGCGGTGCCCTCCTATTTGGTATGGATATGGGCATCATTGGAGGTGTCTTGACTATGGACACATTCAAGAAGTGAGTTGCCGGTGATCGCCACAGTCTTGAATTCCTATTTCTTTGCTGACGATGCGCCCCTCTAGGCAATACGGCCTCGAGAATCAACCCAAGACCGTCCTAGCAAACCTTGAGTCCAACATCGTTTCTGTCATCCAAGCCGGAGCTTTCGCGGGTGCCTTATTGTCGACTTGGCTCGCCAACAGGGTCGGTCGACGATTCTCTCTCATCATCGCCTCAATACTTGTTTTTATCGGGGTGGCACTTCAAGCCGCCGCGAGCGGCCATATCGAAGCCATGTACGTGGGCAGGTAAGCAGACGATACATAATGCAATACAAAAGTCTCGGCGCTGGAGAATTAACTCATCTCATAGACTTGTTGCCGGAATCGCGATCGGAATTGCTTCATCTGTCAACCCGCTTTACGTCTCCGAGAACGCACCGCGGGGTATCAGAGGTCTCCTCACTGGGCTATACCAGCTCAGCATTGTGACTGGACTGACAGTTGGTCCACCCTTGCCTACGATGCGTATGCAAATGGACCTTGATGCTAATGTGAATGTCGATTAGCTTGCATTCTGGATCAACTATGGCTCGCTCCTCCACATCAAAGGCCATACACAATACATCATTCCACTCTCGTAAGCACTACATCTTGACATGGACAAGTACATCCTCTGACAACCCCCAGACTCCAAGCATTCCCGGCCGTCATCCTCTTCATCGGCATGCTTCTCGCCAATGAATCTCCTCGTTTCCTTGCCCAGCGATCTCCCGACAAAGCACTGGCGGTTCTCGCAAAGCTCCAAAATCTACCGGCCGATCATCCATACATCCAGCAAGAGATGGAGGGCATCTCCCGGCAACTCGAGGAAGAGAGGGCCCTCTCCCTCAACGCCAATCACTTCACGCTCCTGAAGGAGGCCTTCACTGTCAAGTCCTACCGCAGACGCAGCATGCTGTGCATCACACTCATGATGTGGAGCAACCTCACAGGTACCAATGCAATGACATACTACTCAAGTCGAATTTTCGCCAGTGTCGGCTTGACGGGATCTTCGACCGGGCTCTTTGCGACTGGCGTGTATGGTATTGTCAAGATGGTTGCCTGTACCGTCTTCATCGTATTCGTCACGGACTCGCTCGGCCGAAGGAAGAGTCTGCTCTGGACTGGAATCGTTCAGGTAAGCCAGAGCACCAGATACAAATGCCAACATGGAGCTACGTACTAACAAAGCACTTTCTAAAGGGAATCGCTCTCTTCTACGTTGGCTTCTACATCCGCTTTGACCCGCCCATCGCCGGCGAGCCCGTCACCGCTCCGGGTTACGTCGCTCTGGTAGCCATCTACATATTCGCTGCCACGTACCAGTTCGGATGGGGCCCTGTCGTATGGACGTACAGCTCCGAGATCCCTCCGGCCCGCCTCCGCGCCGTCATGATGGGCATGGCGACAGCAAGCCAGTGGCTCTTCAACTTTGTTGTCGCTAAGGCCACACCGAGCATGTTTGCCACGCTCGGTGAGGGCGGGTTCGGGACGTACTTTGTGTACGGCACATTCTGCTTCATCATGGTGGTATTTGCGTGGTTCTTTGTGCCCGAGACTGCCGGTGAGTTTGACGATGACCTTGGTTGAGTTGAATATGTGATACTAATCTTTCACAGGCCTTGCATTGGAGAAGATGGATGAGCTATTTGAAAACGATTCGTTGAAAGACAAGCTCATCTGGAGAAAGAGATCCCAACTGAGCTCCAGAGATAGCACGAGTGAGGAAAGGGCGATGGATAAGAAGGATGCTGAGCATGTTGAAGTTGTTTGAGCCAATGTGTGTTCACGTTCGTAGGGCAGCTAATGCAATGAAAGTTATTCATCATGACAATGAGATGTATCATCAATATGATTCCTTCACTCGAAGACTGGCTTAAGCTCTTCCACTTCCAACACTTTCTGAATCCCAGCCAACTTCTCCACCTTCTTTTGCAAGCGCTCAAAGTTGGGATATTCGCCCAAGTCGGTCATGTACACTGCCGACCGCCGGAAATAATACATATACATGTCAACCACCGTCAAGTCGTCACCTACAGCCCATTCACGCCCTTCCAGCCTGGACTCAATTCTTTCGAAGCACTCCAGGATATGCTCCCACCCCTTCTCCGCAACCGCCTTGCGAGCCTCCTCACCGTCAGTGAACCGGTACGGCCTCGCACACGCCGCGAGACTCGCGCCGAGGAACGTCCCGCTCAGCCAGTTAGTCCACTCATTCACCTTTGCGCGGTTGAGGGCACTGGAGCCCAGGAACTTTTCGGTTTGCTCGGGCGGGGCGATGCACGCGATGTAGGTCAGGACGGCCGGGAGCTCTGTGATGACTTCGCCGCTGTCGAGGACGAGGGCCGGGACGTAGCCTGAGGGATTGATTTTGCAGTAGTCCTCGTGCGTGAAGCTGCCGTCTGCGGCCTCGAAGCGCTTTTCGGCGTTGGGTCTCAATTTGACGGTCTTGAAGGGAATGTCGAGGTGGTAGAGGAGTGCGTGGGCTACGAGGGAGCATGAGCCGGGTCTGTAGTAGAGAGTGATTGTAGGGGATGACATGATGAAAGCTCAGTTGTCTGTTGGATTTGTGTGCTATTATTTGTAAGTAACGATGTTTCCATGTCGACTGAAGTGCTACACTCACTCGTGCTATAAGGTGTCTTTACTTCACGTACTTGATCAAAGAGGATGGGAGAATTGACGCCCTTGAAGCGACAGTCAGCGCGGGGTTGATGTAAATGGTCAATCTCTCATGCTTACGTAGCTACATTCGCTGACGAAAATCCTTGCTGGGCTTAACACCAGGCTTGGATGTGATTTGGCAATTCTTCAGAGAGTGAGTCTTATCGTCAGGGGAAGTGTCCAACCCGGGCAGGACGGCAACAAAATGCGACAGTCAGACGGCTGCCTAGAAGAAGGGACTTCCGTACTTGTTCGTTGATTGCGACGTGGAACGTTTGGTCTTCCCTCTTCAAAGTGGCGACAATGAACAAATGAAGAGACCATCAATCCTAGTCACAAGTTGGGCCGCGCAATGAAGGGAAAAGGCACATTTTCCGTGATGGGGATAGCCTCAAAAAGCGCAAGTCAAACCCTGCGAGAGTGCACAATCGCTGTGGGGGCTCATATAAACCTCGGCTCAATCGAAGAGGGCAACTAAGAAGGTCGGGGCTTGGTTAGAAAGACAGTATCGAGTACTCGCACGTTGATAGTAAAAGATCGGGATGAGTGACATATCATGGGTTTGCGAGTATGTTACTGGGGAAGCTCACGATATGCTAACTGGATATTCTGAGAACACCACTCGTTTTCAAGACCAGGTTAGCTCACCGAGAAGGTTACCAGAAGTGTCAATATGCAACATGGATCATTGATATGACGCGGTTATGATGCGATCAAACCATAGAAGCACATGAGTCCAGTAACGATCTTGATTAGAGTATAGGCATTCACAACGGGCTGCAAATGGCGCGTAGAGTCGAGATCAATCGTGGTTGAAGAGTGCAAAGTTCCACCACTTGCGAGAACCTCTCGCAAGATCATGTACTCTCGGCGCGATCACCCGAAAGATCACGTACGGCAACCAGTAAGAGTGCTCCTAAATGGCGCTGTCGGGACCAAAGATGCACGCAATCAGGCTTGAACTACCATGCCCCCGACGATGAGGAAACGTGGCTGGCCTTTTCGGGACTCTTCGCCCACGATGCGAATATGGAAGTGATACAGCAACAGCCACTAGAGAGGCGGGATTGGCGCCATGTGCCTGGCCTGGTGGCGGGGAGATTCTCCCGCTGTTCGGGCCAAAAGAAGGCCTTATCTGTGGTCGCATGCAGTAGCAGTTGTATCGGGCGTCGAGATCAGACGGAGGACTACGTCCCTGCATCGACTTTCGGGCAGAGCCGGTGGCATTGGGTGCCGTAGAGTGGCAGAAGAGAAGGAAAATGGCTCAGATGTTGTGCGATGCCGTTCAGCCTAATGTGATGGATTGGGCGGTCACTGGTGAAGCTGCTTTAGAGAGCGTCGGATAGTGCAGCCATGAGCACTATAGCGTAATAGAGAGAGTGGCCGAGAGAGACGGGAACCCAACCTCTCGGCGTAGCTTGGTGGAAGCTGGGTCTATGCCCGACGAGGAGTGAAGATGGGATGAAGATATGGGGAGGACGAGATAGCAGACCCATGGGGTTTGTGGATATGCTGGGCAGAGCGCGAAGAGCTTTGAGACCGGTCTAGACGTCGTCGTCTGCGGGCCGTAACGCACTAGGAAGTGAAGCAAAAGAGTTGCATGTCTAAATCTGTACAGACTTTTATCTCGTTTGCGGCTTCTTGACTGAATTCTGGACGACGAGATGAGGGGGAGGGGCCACTCGTCAGTTGCGTTCCAAAACTCTGAAGCTCCAGCTGTCTGTGCCATGGCAAAGTTCCAACTCGATACAGATCATAAAGGCTGATAAGAGATCCTCCTAAGGTACTGGGTATCACAATTGTGAGCCTGATCCGATGACATAGGGATGGACGTGCTCCTCTTCCACTGGACCATCCGGTAATGACCTATGCGGGTTCCTGTTTCTGGAGAGGGAACGGAGCGAGGCCGGCGGGCGATAGGTAATGCAGGTGAAGAGGGAATTGGCCGAGGGTGCATGATGGCATCTCCAGGCGCCGTAGTCTGCATTCTGCATTCTGCAGGCTGCAAGAAGTCATGGTTGCCCAGCCGTTGTTGGTCTAGTGGTTCTGTTGGAGTCTACTTCGTCGATGACTCTCATGCATGGAATGAAGAGAGTTGACCCGTCTCGAAGCACGTTTCTCGTCAAGCCATCCAGTCATTGCTCATCCATGAGCCAAGCCGTGGTCACTGGAAACGCGAGTTGCATATTGGGGAGGACGTTTAAAAAGGCGGTGGAACCCAGCGTGCTTGATGATGGCCCCGGAATGGGCAGAATTGGATCACCATTCTATACACAGCATTCACAGTTCCGAGCGAGTCTATTCCTCTGCAGCTCTGAATTAAACTCAGTAGGTGAGTGGTTGCATCCGGTCACGATCTCACTTGGTCTCTGTGCCGTCCGACGTGGCCTGATAGAGATAGACCAGACTTTGTGGTCTGCCTTTGCCTTTTGAAACGCATCAGTCAGTCCAGTGCAAGTCGGAGTCGCATTGCAGCAGCCAGCTTGAGGGAAGCCAGTTGTTTCGTCGCTCAAGGCGTCCTAGCCCGCATTCCGCGCCGCTCACCGTCTTTTCGGAAACCAAAACAGAGCAGAGCAGGCGGTTAGAGTTATCAACCCCGAGGCCGGAACACGCACGGGAAACGTTACGGTTACCGAAGTCTGTACACAAAGTACGCTTCAGCTTTGAGGCAACTTTATTGCAGAGTACAGAGTATCCATAGAGAGCCTCACTCGAGTCACTATTTTGGCACTGGCCACTGAGTAGCAGAATAGGGGGCAAATAATTACCTCGAATTACGTCAGGTGGGTCATAACTTTCCAGAGTTTACAGGTAGTGTAGAGTCCTTTGCATCAAGCAATGTTTGACCCGAATTTACGGCGGCTCTGTTATCGTGTTCTGATGGTGTCTGCGCCATCCGGGATGACCGCGGCGGCAGCTCAACGTGGCTCTCCCAGCAGGGCGGGCACTATCAGACGGTGTCGGGGATGGCTTCAGTTGGGGATCAGCCGCGGGTTTAGTACCGCAGTAGGCTGGTAGAGAATAGGATGGTGTCCGGTCTGTCAGTCCAGCGGCCAGTTCCAGTGGGCTCAGCTCAGCTCACGCCACGAGATGATGAATTGCTTAGTTGTAGCCTGGCGTCCTTTTCTCGGCTCACAATGTGTTGTCTGGATGCTGCTAGTGCAAGATCCAATCAACTGGTGAGGGCCGAGAAGGTTGTGGGCTATGGACGGGTGGAAGGATCATTACTCAATCCCGCTATGGTGTTGTTTTGAGTCAATTATTGTATCTTTTTTGTTTGATTCTTTCCGATCCCCTGAATGCTTTTACGTACTTGGACCGTATCCCATTTCCCACCGAGATTTTTCCATGTTTCCATGTTTCTACACTGTAATTGTTGAAGACTTGTTGGAGGGTCCGAACAATTGGGATTTTTGAGAGATGCAATTTGGGTTGCATCACAAAGACATCATAGGGCACACAGACAACGGCAAGCAATGCAAGGTGTCACAAAGCACGGAGCTTAGAGCAGACAGAGACAGCGGCATCGACCAGGGCACATCCCACCATCCAAAGAGCCCATCAACTCGGGTCCATCTCCGATTACCATGGACTTAAGACAAGATAGACAGCACCGGTACTCTAAAGCTGGCCCTGATGAACAGTATGGAGCACTCGATAGACCGGAGGCAATGACAGAACAGTTATTGGATCTTTTGCTTCTGATGGCCCCTTTTCAAAAGCATTGAGCCAATCCCGCCATACACAATTCGTCCCATCCGAACCAGGCGAGTGGCCTGGCAGGGGGGGGGGGACTAAGTCCAGGTAACGGGCGAGTCGCGAGGAGGTATTCTCGGTGTATCCCGCCGCATCGAAGGGGTGTGGAGAGACTTATGACGCAGCCATTTCCACTTGGTCTGTTACATGTTCAAGACCTTGGTCAAGATGGTCGTGGTTGTGTCTGTCTCCACGCCCAATCCCGGAACGATTCTTCCCTCCCCCACCTCCATGATCCATCTCTGATCTCTCTCCTTGGAGTCTCCTGGTATGTTCTGCGCAGTACATACGTACGGACAGGTACCTAGTTATCGAGTCCTGGTCGGGCAATGCTCTGGGCGCAGAGAGGAACAAGCTGGAAGACGCCAGAGCTTGACCACGGTATCCTCTAGAGTCCCAGCATCTGCCAGGATTATGCAGCACCAAAATAGACAGTGGACGCTACGGAGTACTGTCTAATAGTACAATAGCGGTAGAGGCCGCAGTGACATGTGCTGCCCGTCGCTGTCGATTCAACACTTTGAGCATCTCGATTTGGGGTACTCACCACTATTTTTCAGCTCCGAGACACGGACAGTCGGCTAGGCGACTACTTCAAATGCTCAACTCTTGTTGAATTGTCTCTTCCATTATCAATCTGATCTCATCATCCAGCACCTAGTTGCAGCGAGGAGAAGAGAGAAGAAGAGACAGTGGGAAAGAAGAAAGAGGCCCCTGACGCAACGGTACAAGCCTCTACCAAGCAATACGGCGGCATTGGCATCATCCACCAAGGCCAATCATTGAGCTCATGAGAAAGCAGCAGTGGGTTCTGCGGTGCTCAGGCCGTGGTCTGTCAGTCTGCGATCCCTGGCGTCGCTCTTTTGTGTTTTCTGGAGACTTTTTCTTGGAGACTGGCCTGGGCCGGAGAAGACCATCCACCCACCACCCATGCTCACTATACTGGTAGTGTTGCAGACTTGAGAAGAGAGTGAGAGGATAGGAGCAAAGCGTCCTGCAGCTGTCGTACTCTCTGGTACTAAGTATCTGTTGCGTGTGTTTACTGCTGAAAGGTACTTTGAATAATCCCTTCTATTGTATCACAGCACCAACGTTATTATTATTGTTACCATTACCAAGAATACATCAAGAGGAAATCCCAAGAGCGAGAGAATACCCACTAAGAGGCATACGCGGCATTCTATTCTGTCCATTGCTTGCATTGCTTGCATTCAACAGACACGTTCCATCCAGGCTTGGAATCCACCTCCTTCAACTCCGTACCCCGGCTCAGAACCCCCGTCACCTTGCGTCTCCCCCGTCACTCTGAACTCACCGTTGGATTGGTTTGGTTTGCCATCAGATCAGATCAGATACGGTTGCTTCAAACTTGACTGACAATATCGTCTGGTTGCTTACTGCTTGCTGTGTTGCCCTGGTCTCTGTCTGGTCTTGGTCTGGATGTTCGGCTCGGCTCTGCTTGCTCTCTACACTATCCGTAAAGACTGTAGCTATTGTCTCTGGTCTTGTCTCTGGTGTATTCCTCTCCATTGCTGCATCCCTCCCCCGTATTCCGTCTTGCGTCTCCAGATCCCCCGGTCCAGCCCCAGCTCAGTCAGGTCCAGCCTCCAAGCGGTCAACCGTCGTCTTTTAGTCTGTCTTTGTCCGTCACTTTCTGAGCCTCTAGTCCTTCCGTGCTTGCTCTTTCCATCCATCCATCCTTTTACTTTTCTTCCCTTCGTCACATTCTCATCTTTACATACACCTTTGCCTTCTCCTCCACGACTAGACGCAGCATCACCACCTTCACTTCATCTCAACCCTGGTCATACGTAGGGTGACATTTCCCACTTGAGGCTCGTCTGAATCTTCTGCCCGTGTCCCCCCTCTCGGCCTCTTTCTCGTCTCCCCCTGTTCCTTGGGACAGCCGCTAAGCCAAACTCTACACGTTCCCCGGCACACCACACTCAGCACCACCACCCACCTCTTTCGAGAGAAGAGCAGCAAAGAACAGAGAAAGGAACAGTGTAAAGAGACTGAAGAAGAGAGAAAAGACGAGTCATGGAGCAACACTCCCCCGCGCCAGAGTCGACGGGCGTCAACCCCGCCAACCCCGTGCTGCGAAGCATCGCCCTGTCGGACGCCGTGACGCCGGGCATCCACCAGCACACGTACAACTCTGCCGACAGCTCGCGCGCCCAATCGCCCAGCGGGAACAGCTACTTTCCTCCCTCCAACTACACCACCCACGACTCTCACCACCATCACCAGACTTCCTCTCAACAACAACCTCCCACGAGCGGCAACTTCATCACGAGCAATCCCACTTCGTCTCCCGCAAACACAGCTGCCTCAAATACCTCCAAAGTCCCTCCGTCGCCAGGCCCCGGCGACATCCTCAAGCGCATGACCCTCGCCGCCATGGGCCGTCGCGAGTCCCTCTCCCAGATTCGCAGCGCCAACCCAGACCTGCAGCTGAGCGGCAACATCATCTCGGCCACCTTCAACATTCCCCATTCCCTCAAGTACCGCAAAGGTTCCGACTGGGTGAGTTAACGTCTCTATCTCTGCTGTTCAAAATCCCCTCAATTCGCGATCCTTCACCAGGACAACCCCGCTGACATCATCGCCATCACAGGAATTAAAGGCGCGCCGCGGCCAATCCGCCCTCTTCGACTCCTTTGCCTACCTCTCTTCCGACGAGACCCCCTGGAACCACACCGTCGTCGCCTGGACCGGCGAGATCGATACCCCCCAAGACGTCCTCTCGCCGCCCGGCACCCCGCCCGCTACGACTGTACACTTCTCCTCTCTCAACACCCTCTCCGCGCCCGTCCCGATCGATGGCGATGCTCGCCTGCCCACGCCGCCTCCCAGCGAGGGCCTCTGGCTTCCCAAGGAGGACCAGGCCCGCCTCGAGACCCAGCTCGCCCACAGCAAGACCATCAAGACGGTGCCCGTCTGGCTCTGCGACGACGACGAGCAGCAAGAAGCGGGCGTTCTCCTCAAGGACCAGAGCCGCTGGCGCCGCTACGCCGAACACGACCTCTACACCCTCTTCCACTACAAGCAGCACGAGCCCACCGACGGTCGCAAGGAGCGCTTGCAATGGGCCGACTACTACCGCATGAACCAAAAGTTTGCCAACCGCATCATCGACCTCTACAAGCCTGGCGACATTGTCATTGTTCACGACTACTACCTCATGCTGCTGCCCAGCATGCTCCGCCAGCGCGTCCCCAATATGAACATCTCCTTCTTCCTCCACTCGCCCTTCCCCTCCTCCGAGTTCTTGCGCTGCCTGCCCCGTCGCAAGGAGGTTCTCGAGGGCGTCCTCGGCTCCAACCTCGTCGGTTTCCAGTCCTACAGCTACTCGCGCCACTTCTCCAGCTGCTGTACCCGCGTCCTCGGCTTCCCATCGGATAGCGGCGGTGTCGATGCCTACGGTGCGCGCGTGCAGGTCGGTGTCTTCCCCATTGGTATTAACGCCGACAAGTGCGAAATGTACGCCTGGACCGACGCCGTCACCGGAAAGTACGACGCTCTCAAGAAGCTGTACGAGGGCAAGAAGATTATTGTCGGTCGCGACCGCCTCGATTCCGTTCGCGGTGTCGCCCAGAAGCTCCAGGCTTTTGAGCGCTTCCTCGAAATGTACCCCGACTGGCGCGAAAAGGTCGTCCTCATCCAGGTCACCTCCCCCACCAGCATCGAGGAGGAAAAGGACGACGATGGTTCCGAGTCCCGCATCGCGACCCGCGTCAACGAGCTCGTCATGCGCATCAACGGCATGTACGGCAGCCTGGGCTTCTCCCCCGTCCAGCACTACCCCCAGTACCTCAGCCAGGACGAGTACTTTGCTCTCCTCCGCGCCGCCGACATTGGCCTCATCACCTCGGTCCGTGACGGCATGAACACTACGAGCATGGAGTATGTCATCTGCCAGCGCGAGGGTCACGGCCCCCTCATCCTCTCAGAGTTCAGCGGTACTGCCGGTAGCCTTAAGGACGCCATCCACATTAACCCCTGGGACCTCAGCGGTGTCGCCGTCGAGATCAACAACGCCCTCACAATGACGCCCGAGAAGCGCATGAACATGCAGGCCAACCTCTACAACCACGTCACCACCCGAAACGTCCAGAGCTGGATCGATAACTTCATCCGCAAGCACGTCCACGTTCTCGGCACCCAGAAGAACGTAGCCGCCACCCCTCTCCTCGACCGCGCCACCCTCCTCAAGACCTACCGTGAAGCCGGCAAGCGCCTCTTCATGTTCGACTACGACGGTACCCTTACCCCCATCGTCCGCGAGCCCAGCGCTGCCGTCCCCTCCGAGCGCGTCCTGCAGACCCTCAAGGCCCTCGCCAGCGATGAGCAGAACGCTGTTTGGATCATCTCGGGCCGCGATCAAGAGTTCCTCACCCAGCACCTTGGCCACATTGCCGGTCTTGGTTTCAGCGCTGAGCACGGCAGCTTCATGAAAAATCCCGGCTCCGACGAGTGGGTCAACCTTGCCGACGAGTTCGATATGGGCTGGCAAGCCGAGGTCATGGCCTGCTTCCAGTCCTTCACCGACAGAGTGCCCGGTATGTTTGGATTGCCTTTATTGACGAGTAAATCACGAGAACATTTGCTAACATGAACAAGGTTCCTTTGTCGAGCGCAAGCGCTGCGCCCTCACATGGCACTACCGTCTTGCCGACCCCGAGCAGGGCATCCACATGGCCCGCGAGTGCCAAAAGGAGCTCGAGTCAACAGTGGCGCAAAAGTGGGATGTCGAGGTAATGGCAGGCAAGGCCAATCTCGAGGTCAGGCCGACGTTTATCAACAAGGGCGAGATTGCGAAGCGCCTCGTACACACCTACAACTCGGCGCCCGCGTCCGAGAAGCACCCCGGCCCCGTCGAATTCGTCCTCTGCCTGGGCGACGACTTTACCGACGAGGACATGTTCCGCGCCCTCAACGGCCTGTCGGGCACCGAGGTCCAGCACGAGCACATCTTCACCGTCACTGTCGGTGCCAGCACAAAGGTCACTTTGGCGAGATGGCATCTGCTAGAGCCCGAGGACGTGGTCGAGTGTGTCGCGTTGCTGGCGGGAGTCGGTCTCGGCGGCGAGGCTCACGAGCACTTTGGCCAGGTCAACTTGGCCGCTCTGAGCACGGTCGAGGGACACATTCCCGAGTCGGAGAAGTGACTAAAGAAGAAGCCAAGTAAGCTGTGATGAGGGAAGAAGAGCATACAGCGGGGGGGAGTCATACAGCCGGGAGTATGGATAGAAAGCGGCATTCTTTGATTTTAGTGTCATTACCTCAGCCGCCGGTATTTGCCTTTTTTTTTTCACCTGTTTTGATATTCACACAGACACAGACACACTCGCCGATGAACAGAGCGAAAAGTCATCGAGCAACATGGGAGGTGGTTGATACGAGGCATGATGCATGGGCTCAGCATGGGAGCGGAACAGCCCAGAGAGACGGGCTAGATGCATATAGACTATATTCTTATCCTACACATTGGACTTCATATCTGCACATTCGCTTCAATGCGATGACAATGTGATGCTTCTAGTGATCTTGGTGATGCCCCCCTCTTCACATGTCTTATTCACATGTCTTAGCAGCTCCAAGATGGTGTGTGTAACGGCCCCAGAAAACAACGTCACATTGACAGCGGCTGTGCTCGAGATCGTCGGATCTACAGCCCGGTTCCTGGCATACGCTCGGGCGGAATGGCCGAAACTCAATTGAAGCTTGTTTGCTCCGTTGGGACGGACGAATCACTTGTTTTCAATTGGAAATGTTTGGACGAAAAAGTAACCTGATCGTGTACACAGAGAGACTCGCAACTCTCAGATTGACAACACCACGGACTCGTTGCCTCTCGGAGCATTATTGAATAGCATGTCGGTGACTCCCCAAGAGCACGTTTTCGCAGGTTCAAGATCCTAGTCGTGTGGATCTCTTGGCGAATGCTACGATTCTCGGGGCTGGAGATGCGATTCTTGATGCTCAGTAGTGAGCAAACATGGCCTCATCCATCACTATGAGCACCTCGCGATTTGATGACTGACGTGACCACCTGCCGCGAGTAGGTAGATATAATCATGGACAACGTCAAGACTCGATCTTACTCATTATGTTCATTATCTCATCAGCCATACCCAGCGCTGTCTTGGCACATCCTGCCATAGCGAGATCGGACCCATCACCGCTTTCGACCTCCCTCTTTGAGCTTCCTGGTCCGACGTTGGATTATCAAAAAGAGAACGAGCACATTACAGAACCCTTGCTCGCATGAGATGCGGGGCAATTGATACGCATTGCTGGAGACTGCGAATTGTGCGCAGAGAAGCGTATGATGAGTTGTCGCGATGGTTTAAAGGTCGGTATGCTCGCTGTCTCTATACTCGACAAGATGCAGCCACCAGTTACAGCAAACTCGTGACGGTAAATGTGAAGAACTTGGCCGAGAACCACGATGCGCTGCCTTTGGATCTTGTCCGCCCTCGCCTGGGTCGCCGAGGCCGCCGCTCAAGACATCACCGACGACGACTCTCCAAAGATTGAAGCACACCGCTTCATCATCGAATTCGCCAGCGCAAGTCCTCTCACCATCTCTAACTAATTCCTCAAGACTGACCAACAACAGGGCACCCACGCCAAAACCAAACGCGACGAACTCTCCTCCACAGGAATCCGCGTCCTCAAAACCTTTGACTCACCACTCTTCTCCGGCGCGAGTCTAGAAACAAACAACCACACCCTCGAATCCCTCCTCATCCTCCCAGGCATCGTAGCCGTCTGGCCCAACATGCAGGCATACCTCATCGCCCCCGTCAAGCGCCAAGTCGCAGTCGACCCTACCGCGGCAGCAGCCCACGCAGTACACTGGGCCACGGGCGTCGATGAACTCCACCAACAAGGCGTCCGCGGGCAGGGCGTGAAAGTCGGCATCGTCGATACGGGCATATGGTACAAACACACCGCCCTCGGCGCGGGTTTTGGCCCCGGGTTCAAGGTTGCCGGCGGCCGGGACCTCGTCGGGGACGGGTGGGTCGTCGGCACCGAGAAGAAGCCCGATGCGGACCCGGCTGATGAGCAAGGGCACGGGACGCATGTCGCGGGGATCCTTGCCGGGGAGGATGTTTCTTCCGGGTGGGTTGGTGTTGCGCCTGATGCGAGTTTGTATTCGTATAAAGTCTTTGGTCCGGGTGATGGGACGGATCAGGCGACTATTATCGATGCGTTCCTCCGCGCGTACGAGGATGGGATGGATGTTATTACTGCTAGTATCGGCGGTCGAGGGGGATTCGCGAGTAATGCCTGGGCTGTCGTTGCGAGCCGGATCGCTGCTGAGGGCGTGGTCGTCACCATTGGCGCCGGGAACTCGGGGAACGGAGGGGCGTATTACGCCAGCACGGGGAGTTCGGGCGAGAATGTGCTCAGTGTTGCGAGTGCGGAGGTGAAGCGTGATGAGGTGACGGGAGGAGATATCCTGCGGCCGTCGTATTTCACGAGTTGGGGCGGGTTATATGATTTGTCTGTCAAACCTGATGTTGCTGCGCCAGGGACGGATGTGTTTAGTACGTGGCCTGGTGGGGATGATAATGAGTTTGTGTTGCTGTCTGGGACGAGTATGGCTACACCTTATGTTGCTGGTGTTGCAGCGTTGTATATCTGTAAGCATGGCGGAAGGAGTATTCACGGCAAGGGATTTGCGAGGGACCTAAGTATGAGGATCATCTCGACGGGGGCCTCGTTGCCGTGGTTGTTGTATAGTGGCGATGCGGATCAGGCGTATCGGGCGCCGTCGCAGCAGGTTGGTGGTGGGCTTGTTGATGCGGCCAAGGTTGTTGGATATCGAACGAGCTTGGAGCTGACGAGGTTTGGGTTGAATGATACTGCCAACTTCCGCGCGAATCAAGGAGTTCTGGTCAGAAACGGAGGTAATCAGACGGTGAGGTATACCTTCGAGGTTGAGAGCTGGGCTGGGGTTGAGATGCTTAAGGCGTTTGATGGACGTGATCCGGGAGAGACGCCGAGGATCAAGTATAGGCCAGAAATCGTGCCTAGCAATATCTCGGCGAGGGTTACGGTGCCGGAGGAATTTGTGTTGGGTCCTGGAGAGGAGAGACGAGCAGAGTGAGTTTTCTTATTTGAAGAACGGATGTTGAGGATGAGGCTAACTTCCCTAGATTCATCTTTGAGGCGCCAGGGGGGGTTAACGAAACAGCGCTCCCGGCCTACGGTGGTCGTCTCTTGGTCAAGGGCGACAACGGGAAGACTGTATCCGTTCCCTACCAAGGGTTGGCTTTCGACTTGCAGAAGCAGATGGAAAGTCCCTTCCATGGGACATACCCATGGTTGAGGTCGACGAGCGCGTATAGTAACAAAACGACGTGAGTGTGATGTGGCCATGGACCAGTTGGTACATGAAGCTGACTTGAACTACAGCTTCAGCTTTGAACTCGCCAGTGGTATACAAGACTTCCCCATGATGTTCATGAAGGCCAAATGGGGCACAAGAGAGGTTCGGTGGGATGTAAGCCAACTTCAACACCCAACCCTTTGGCAGTACGGCTTAATACTAACCCAAAGCACCAGATCTATGAATCCAGCTTTAACGAGGCGCGAGACTGGGAGTACCCTCCCGTGTCCGGACAACGAGGCTACGTCGGCGCAGCCACATCCTGGGCCTCTGCCGGTAAGACGTCGAGCTTCAACCCCGCTCGTCACAACGCCAGCGATACTTTCTCGTTTCCAGAGACTGATGTCGCGAGAAACGCACTGACGACGGGCGGGTTTACGACAGCGTACTATTGGTTTGGCAAGTTGGGCGACGGGAGTGTCATGGCACCGGGCAATTACACGTGAGTTCTTACACCACCGTCCCCAGCAGATGATGTGCCTTGGATCAAACGATGCTGACTTAGAAACAGAATGAGGTTTGCGGTGCTGCTACCATTTGCTGATCCCCAGCTAAGTGAGAGCTGGAAGGGGTTGACGACCAAGTTCACAGTCTTGCCGAAAATTGGGAACAGCACGATCAATAGAAGGGGATTCTGGTGAGAAGCTGGGCGTTCTCCGTAAGAATATTGTGAATGATTTACTGTCCCGAAGTTCCCATAGGTGCATCGTTGGCTTGGGCAAGTCCTTGTAGTAAGTGCCTCGTCTCTATGCCAGTCGTTCCATCTCAGGTCTAGTGGCAGGCCCACTCATAAGTGCCCCTAGCATGTACACAGTCCATCCACGCCCTCTTATAGAACTCCGAAACTATCTGAGAGGAAAATTGAGCCTTTCTTCTCCGATCCTCCTAGTGATTCCTGATTACTGAAGTCATTGGACACCGTCATCGACGAGCTTGATCATGCAATCGCTGCCAAAGTCTGGTTGCTCCTGGCACAGAGTCTTAAACTCAGGCATCTGGAGATGCAGCTTCCGGGCCCATGGCTTGCCAAGCGTGATCTCCAAGAATGTTGCCTTGAGAATGTGTGTGTTGTCCACGTCTTGGTAGTCTGTATAGAGAAGTCGGCCGGCATTGACCCAATCTTGGGGGCTGGGTTGGTGCATGCCTGTGAATATGGCTGCCCGTTGTGTACGGGATAATGTGTAGGCTGTGAGCTCCGACTCAACTTCGGAGCAGAGGACTCTCACCAAGAAGTAATCGCCTAGTGTTCAGAGCTGAATGGCGGTGTGCAGGAAGGTGTCGTTCTGACAGACGCTGTAAAAGTCGAATACTGTTCGACGGTTCGCTTAGCCAATATCCTCCAAGGTGCCTCAAGGGTGAAGCTCGACTTATGAAAGGAGTGTGTATTGTATCCAGTGAATTTCATTGACAATAGTGTAACCTTCCCACCCAAGATCATCAAAGGCATGCAGGGAGAAATAAGGAGCAGGAGGAGCGGGGCGAAGGAGGTCTGCTTATCGCCGGTGTAGATGTAGTTGAAGAGGAGATCCATTTGTTTCTCAGTGAAGCAGGTGATCTCGACAATGCCAGTCTTGGCCTCCTATTAACAAGTCAGATCGTGCATTTACAATCTCCATTGTCTCCATTTACAAAAACATACTGGCCAGTCGCCCGTCAAGCATCTCATGAAGTACTTGGAACGCGCGCACAAGATCGACTTGTGCAGATTCCATGTCTTGCCTTCGCACTTGATTTGGCAGTCTGAGAGCATGCCAGTCTTGAGGAGCC